AAAATTTAGACATGTCAGTTCTCTCATGAACGCAAAATGTTTATTGAAGATTGAGCACCTGTTGCGGGTTACCAAGAGGGTGTCAGAGTCTGCTGACATCAACTCTATAAATATGTGTAATTGTCACCAACCACAAAAATGAGGCAATCCAGGCTGGGGTGTAATGGTGATGATAACTAGAATCTGCCCATAAATTTGCCTTATTTCGTCCTTAATGAAATAGGTTTATTTCATGGAAATTTTTTCATGGAACCCATTTTTTTTTTTTTTTTTTTTTTGCTTGGAAAAAAACTGTTAATGTAAAGGACTTTTCACAAATGGATCAGAAAGTTCTGGGCCACAAGAATCTAAATACGTAATTTCTCTCATTATTGGAGTGTCACTTAGTTGTGTTTGGTGCTGTTTTTCCAAGTGGAGAGGGTGACCTACGCATTTGCATCTAGCCCAGGCAAGGTGTGCTCACTCACCTGCATGCCCCATGTGTATCCAGGAACCTTTGTCCTGCCTACCACCCTCTCTGTGTTTACAGCTGTGTGGTTGGAACACGTCTCCCTGAGGCAGCAGCTCTGGGAGGAGGGGTGAGGGACTGAGAGCCCTTGTGAGTGCTGGACCCTCGATCTTGACATTCCCAGCCCTGAGAACTGTTCGGTGCTGTCTCTCCTTTTGTTAAAAATTAAGCAGGCTGTGTGATGCTGTGATAGCACCAAGTGGATGAGGGCAGGGGCTTCTATGCCCCTGCTCTGTACCATGCTGTGTGTGACTGTCAGAGCTATCAGAAGGCTCATGCTACATGATAAACTTGAAAGCAAAGTGCCTTTCACACCGACAAGACTGTTTCATGGAAGGATACCAGTCCCATCCAAAGTTTTCTGCCCTCCAGACCCAATCACTTCACCTCCCGGACACCATCACTCTGGGAATTAGTGTATTGATAACAAAATGTGGGATGACTTAATAGTACATGGCACCTGTTACGGTTCAGTGTGAAAAATGCTTCTACTTAAATGGCCTCTGTTTCCCACGCACAGGAAGAGTGGCCACATCCTCCTGTATGCTCTCTCCCCTACTCTTGTGCCATTAAAACTCCAGCTCCTTTTTGGGTCAGGAGAGGGTGGAAGGATAAGGGTACTTTTTAGACCATAGGAACCATTTCTTGCATTGAATGTTCGTGCCATTTGTCCTCTTGGAGCCTCACACATGGATGGGAGGTCAACAGCCCACACTGGGGACTTCCTCAGGCATATCTAGCTGAGGAGGGACCGTCTCTGTGCTTGCCCAAGCTCCCAAATAACCCAAGGCTGAGAAAATGCCCTCTTAAAATCCCTCTCTCCTTAGGTCTTCATGGTGTCCTGCTCTCACCAAAGAGCCCCAGGCCACAATCTCCATGTCACAGAGATTTTTTTAACCTTCAAGCTTTTTCTTCCTTGGATTCAGGCAAAGAGCCACGAGGGAGGCTAGCAGAGGGCAAAGGCGCTGGGCTGTGCTAGGCCTCTGCTGCAGCTGCCCAGGACCCAGATTTGTGTGCCAGGCCTCATGCTTCTGGTGATAGATGCTCTTATCCAAGTCCCTTTTTTGTTGCCATAACAGAACACCTGAGGCTGGTTCATTTATAAAGAAAAGAAGTTAAGTTTTGATCCATGGTTCTGGAAGCTGGGAAGTGAGTGGCAGGATCAAACAAGGGCAGAAAATACAGAGAGAAGCAACAGTGCACAGAGGAAATGAAACAGAAAAGGCAGCCTGGCTTTGTTAACAATCGGCCCTCAAGGGACGTTATCCAGACTGCAGAATTCCCTCCCGTAAGAATTTACCCATCCGTTCGTGAGAGTGTTGCCTGTGGCATGCTGTGGCAGAATCGCCATCTCAGGACTGCTGTCCCTGGGGCCTCGTGTTACAACTTGTGGGTTTCCAGGGATGCAGTTCAGACCACAGTAGCCCTCCATGGTGGACCCCTGGCAGGCACACTGTCCAGAACAGCCCAGGTCTGTGTGAGCTCCCTGTCAAGCACACGCAAGCTGGGGTTTCCCTGATGGAGTTTTCTTCTCTTTCCTCAACTTGTAAAGAACGGCCCTTTTTGTAGGAAAGAGACATGGGGGCGATTGGTGTTTTCCATAGCAAAGAAGATACCCGCATTCCACATTGGAGTTTTTGGGTTCAAGCATCAGCTCTCCTTCTAACGGGCAGCCTGGGAGGCAGCAGGTAATGGCTCAAGTTCTTGGGTTCCTGCCACCCATCGGGGAGACCCAGATGGAGTTCTGGATTCCCTGCTTTGACTTGGCACAGCCTCAACCACAACAGGCATTTGGGGGACTGAACAAGCATGTTGGCAAGTTTCTCTTTCTTTCTCCTAGTTTCCCAAATAAAAAGTTCATGCTCCATTTTCAGGATTCTAGATTGAGACTCAGAATTAGATAACTGATAGGAAAAAATGTTAAAGTCTATTTATGCTTTTATCCATGGAGGTATTGTTCTGCTAATTATTACCACATCAACAAAAATAGCATTACTAATAATGGCATTTATTCACTGCCTGAAAAGTGTAAAACACATTTTCTAAGATGTAGGAAGCGTCTTCATGGTTGGGGCCCAGCATAGTGGCCTAGCGGCTAAGGTCCTCACCTTGAACGTGCCAGGATCCCATATGGGCACCGGTTCTAATCCCGGCAGCCCCACTTCCCATCCAGCTCCCTGCTTGTGGCCTGGGAAAGCAGTCGAGGACGGCCCAAAGCCTAGGGACCCTGTACCTGTGTGGGAGACCTGGAGGAAGTTCCTGGCTCCTGGCTTTGGATCGGCATAGCATCATCCGTTGCGCTCACTTGGGGAGTGAATCATCGGATGGAAGATCTTCCTCTCTGTCTCTCCTCTCTGTATACTTGACTTTGCAATAAAAATAATAAAATTAAAAAAAAAAAAAAAGAAAAGTCTTCATGGTTACCTCTTAGGAGGACTAAGAGAGGTTTGTGCTACAGGGAGCCCAGTGCTGTGCTGTTTACTCAAATTAGCTCACTCTTCATTGCAGAAGTGTGTTAGGGGCTCCTAGCTCCATTTTACACACAGACAATAGCAGTATAAGCAGGCTGAGTGTCTTGTCCTGGTGGCAGAAGTCTAAGTGGCTGGGAGCAGCCCCAGGCGACCTGACCTGGCACAGAACTGTGGCTCCCATCCTTCTGATGGCGCACGCTCCCCTGGAGAGTGAAAGCCGAGCCGTGGCAGAGGCCCCTTCCCCATCAGCTGCAGCAGCAGCTATCCTCCGCTTAATGCAGGGTGGGAAGAGTCCTCGTCATTCAGCATGTTTCCTTGAGACTATAATTTATGTTATCAAATGATAAATTGCATATAGATGTAATGCAATAGCCAAAGGCCCGTTGTCCAGACAGAATAATTTCAGCAGACTTTTGTGCTTCCTGATGAACTCAAACCAGATTCGATTATATGAAGCCGACGTTGTATTGTTGCATGGTAGCCGGATTTGCTATTCTCAGTGATAAACTCACTGGGATGTTCAAACATCACTTTTGGTCATCTTAGAAATGGCTCTGTTCTGTAATGCCATGAGGTGAAGGGCCTCGGATCATGTTTATTTGGCTGCTAGTAAAGTTTTGCCAGTTTAATTTAATGAGGTATCTTCTAAAACGTGGCAATAATCAGCGTTCTTCGATGATCCCTGGAGAGAAAGGTGCAATTTGAAGATATCCAGAGGGGTAGAGATGAATCTGCTATTTTAATAGCCTTCTTTATATTTCAAATGCTTCTACCAGAGTTAGAGGATGTTCAGCCCCAGAAGCTATGGAAGGCCTATGAAATCCTTTGGACCGAGCCTGCCAAAGCAGCCCCAATAGTTCTCAAATAAATCTATAGCAGGCAGAGTTTCAAACTGATAATTCTGAATGGTCTATGTTATAATATCCAGATGGCCCTTGACAAAAAAAAAAAAATCTTTTATCCCTGAAAGGTTACCTTGTACAACCTGAGACGTGTTTGTTTTTGTCAACCAGGTCCTAAAAAGGCTATCTTTACCCCCCTGAGCCCCATTTGTTCATATGGTGCTTCCTGTTTCAAGGGTACCAAGCATACAGTGAATATGGTACAAAGGAGGGGAGGGACACAGTCATTGGAGCCTCAGGCATTAACGCTGGAGCAGAGAGGAGCTTGGATGTTCTGACTCAGCCCACCAACCCAGAGCAGAGTGGATGACTGTAAATAGGAGTGGTCTTCAAAGCGCTCATGGGAAAATGGAATTGAAAAAATAAGTTTATGGGGAGAGCCTTTGGCGTGGTGGGTTCGGTGCTTGAGACACGTGCATCCTATATCGGAGTGCTTGGATTCAAGTTCTCCATCTACTGCTGCTTCTGGCCTGGGAGGCAGCAGGTGATGGCTGCACTCCTGGGATCCCTGTCCACCAGGGGGGAGACCTGAAATGAGGGACCCCTGCCCCCCACAGGGGAGACCTGAAATGAGAGACCCCTGCCCCCCAGGGGAGACCTGAAAAGAGGGACCCCTGCCCCCCCAAGGGAGACCTGAAATGAGGGACCCCTGCCCCCCAGGGGAGACCTGAAATGAGGGACCCCTGCCCCCCAGGGGAGACCTGAAATGAGTTTGGGTTCCTGTCATTTGCCTATCCAAACTTAGGGGCATTTTGGGGAATGAGCCAGTAGGTAGAAGATCTCTGTCTCTCTGCTTTTCACATAAATGAAATGCATATTTTTAAGATAAAATTGGTTTTGGTACAAAAGTTTTGAAATTCATGTATAGGTTTTTTTTTCCCATCATATCCTTTTTTTCCCATGAACTCTTTAAAGTCTCTTGATATCAAATAGATTGCCCTATGGGGATGTTGCTACGTAGAAATCCGAGCTAGAGAGCATCCCAATGAATTTCAGTACACGGAGATGAACTCTGTATTTTACATCATAATGCATATGTTTTCAATCGAAGGAACTTGTGAATTGTTTAAAATTCTAAACCCAGAAAATGTGATTCTCCGTCCTTGTGTTGTGTTGCAGGCAACAAGGGCAGCGATCACTCAGCACTGTACTGATCTGGGCGCTCTGCTGGGCAAAGAGAACGACGTGGCCCTCATCATCGACGGGCACACGCTCAAGTACGCGCTGTCCTTCGAAGTCCGGAGAAGCTTCCTGGATCTGGCGCTGTCGTGTAAAGCAGTCATATGCTGCAGGTGGGAACATGGTGCATGCGCACAGCTCCTGGGCTTGCTGATGCATAGCAAAAATAGCCATTTATCTTTCACCGTTGCATCACAGATTTTTCTGGAAAGCATTTTATATTTTTGTTTTGTTTATCTTGAAGAGATTATGATCTAGGAAGCAGGACTTCTAAGCTGTCTCTATGATAGGAGTTTCTAAATTGGAGAAACTCTACCTTCAGCCGGGGTGGCACGTCCAGGGTGCCTACCTGCTTAGTTCCTGATTCAGCTTCCAACACTGGGAGGGCTTGGATGCTTCTCTTCTGAAGGTCACGGGCATTTTCATTTACCAAAGTGCTTTGGTTGCAATCCTGTTATACCAAGTCTTGTGTTAAGGTGTAACTGAAATCTTTGGTGGTTCTCCTAGTGTTTTTTTAAAGGGGTATTGTCACAAGCCATTGACTGCTGGCCACATGGAGGTCCAGTTCTGATGGAAGTTTGAAAGATCAGTGAAATGATAAAGAAAGTAAACTATAAAGATGAGTGCCTGCCGTAAGAAGTGGTAACTCATGGGGTCTCCAGAGTGGACAAGTATGGTGGTGTCCTACCTGACACTGTAGGATATTCAAGGACCATGAGGAACAAATTTAGGGCAGTATGGAACAGAAAATTAGAGTGTGGCTGTGAGGGATACTGAGAGATGAGCAGAACACCTGGACATGAACTATTGCTTGACGGGTTTTATGATGGACCTTCCAGCACTCTCCCTCTTACAACAACTTTACTCACACAGCATGCAGTTCGTCCATTGAAAATATGTTGTTCAGTAGTGTTCAGTAGAGCTGCTTAACCGTCACCACAACCAAGATTAGAATATGTTTCATCACTCTCAAAGCTTCGTATCCATTATCAGTTCATCCCTCTCTTCGTCTTCCTAGTCCCAACTCCCAACCACTAATGTACTTTCTTGTTTATGTCAGCCTGCCCATGGAAGGCATGCCCTATGAATGGAGTAGCACAAGGTGTGGCCCTTGTCTTATATGAAAGCGTTTAACGTGTTTCCAAGTTTAAGTTGTAGTGCAAACTAGCACACTGTTTATGACCTGATAATATTTCATCTTTGGAGCGATCATATGCTACTTATCCTTCTACCAGCTCATAAACCTTCAGTCTTTACTTTTGGGGGGCAGTTACAAATGATGTTACAAGCATCCACATGTGAGTTGGCCAATGGGCATAGGTATTCAGTTCTTTTAGGACCATACCTGGCCCCTCTGGATCCCTGGGGAAACTCTGTGCTTAACTTTTAGGGTAACTGAGTGTACCCCTTTATATTCTCACTATTAATGTGTAGGTGTTTCAGTTGATTCTCATCACTGCTGACACCTTTTATCTATAATTTTGGTTAGTTGACCTGGTGCATGGACAGTGATATTTCACTGTAGTTTCAATTCAAATTTCTCTCATGCGTAAGGGTCTTTAGCATCTTTTCATAAGCTCATGAGCCATTTGTGTATCTTCTTTGGAGAAATATCTATTCTTTAATGTCACAAGAATTCCCTAATTTCTTGTGTGCTCTGGATACAAGTATCTCATCAGATAAATGATTTGCAGTTATTTCCTCCATTCTGGCTGGCTTTTTTTTTTAAATAGGTATGATGGTATTGTTTATAGTGAAAAATAATTTTAGTAAATTTCAGTGTATGTTTTTTCTTTGTCCTTGGTTCTCGGGGGTACTGTATCTAATGAGTTATCGTTTAAAGCAACTGTGGTCCTTTGCTTTCTGGGTTCCATTTGATCCTTTTAGATCAGGGAAATGCATGTTCTCTAGTGGTAGGGAGGTGGTAAAATTCGTTTTTCCCCATAACCTTTCCTTTATGTCTGCATTCTAAAGTTACTGAGTAGCAGGTACCTGATTTCCAAGAATTCCTCAAACCATGGAGTTTGTATGTATGGCTGCCATGTTGGTCAAGGAGACTGTCTGACTTGCCAGCCACAGGAGCCAGTGTGGTGGTGCAGCAGGTTCTGATCCAGTTCCCTGCTGATGTGTCTACAACAGCAGTAGAAAATGGCCCCAGATGGCCACCCTGGCGGGGCACATGGGTGGAGTTCCAGGCCCTCGGCATCAGCCTGGCCTGGCCCCAGCTGTTACAGGCGTTTGGGGAGTGAACCTACAGGTTCTCTGTTTCTGCTGCTCTCTCTTCTCTCTGTAACGCTGCCTTTCAAATAAATAGACACAGCTTAAAAAATAATAATAATAAAACAAGAAAGAAACCAACAAAAGCCCTGGAAACAACATGGAGAAGTCTGGTGCGCTGTCTACCCAAGCACACACGCTAAAGACTTGTGAGGGTGTTCAAGAAGACATCAAAGTGAGTCCGGTTGGAGTCTCCGGGGGGAGCCGGGAAGGCGTGTGGTGCCTTACAGGAACACGCTCCTTGCCTGCCAGGTGCTTGATACCAAAGAAAAACATCTTTTCCCCGGCCTCACTTTGGCTGCTTTTGCAGGGCTTTGTGTGTCACACAGGGCTGCATGCCAAAAGACGTTGCAGGAAGGAGTTCAAACTGGAATTGGCACAGAAAGAGGAAATTTCAAATTAAATGCTGTTACTGTCCATGAAATAGAAGCATTAATTGGAAAAAGGAACCTGGGATCCTGTACTGCTTTCCTGTGCTGGGAGACGTTTCTTGGCTGATCTTGCACTTAGATTAAAAAAAAAAAAAGCAACACATACTTTAGCAAAAAAGCACTCATGTACTTCAAATGCATTTACTGTTCATTGAGAGTTTAAGCTTGAGCTAAAATTAATATGTGGCTTCAAACATAAAGTTTGACCTGAATTTTCAGAAATATTACATCTGAACGAGGAAAACTAAGAGTTACCCTGTTTGGTAATAATAGAAGTCATATTTTTTTTCCGAAAATATTTTTTTCTAGGCTATTATTAAGCGTACTTTTATTAACAGATTCAAAGGTGAGTAAATTTTGTGCGACAGAGAATCAATACCTTTAAAGAGGAAACGGGCAACATTTTGTTAAGTATTTTGCTTTAGTTAGAATGAGAGCATCTTGCTAAGCACACATGGCTATACTCAGACCATTTCCATGTAGTTAAAATCCAGTCTTCATGACAGCTACCAGTCAGTATTCTTTTGCAGATGAAATGTACGTGGCAGGGGCAGTCTAGCATTATTTGCCGGAGAGCAAACTGCTTAGCCCAAAAGGGTTTTCATTCATCAGCATTATGTGTTTTTGGATGGCAACCCTTGAGATGTCATGGGAGACTGAAAATGTAACATGGTTTTTGGCTTGTAAGTGCAAACGATGACTAGCAGTAAGTCTACACTTCTTTGTGTCTCTTCTCTGAAACTACTTCGGAAAGTTTATGGACAGTGGCACTCAAAGATAACTTTATTTTGCTGCACAATAGATTGGGTCATATGTACTCTGCTTCTGATGGGTCTTCAGAAAGCTTATGGAAAGTGTATAGGGATAAAGACAGCATATATTTCGAAAATTTGTATTGGAATATACTTTTAGTTCTATTTTCCCTGAACTTGTCCTTGTTATTTGTTGATTTTTTTTTGATTGGCACATAATTGCACGTGTTTAATTGTGATATAATGTGATACTGTGAGATTTGTCTGTCTGTTTCTTAAATTCAGGCCCTCAGTGCAAATCTCCATCAGGCCCCATGCAACAAACTCTTTCAGTTTCTTTTTTCTTCTCTCCTCTCCCCTTGTCTCTGCCTCTCTCTCTGTAGCACTGTCTTTCAAATCAATAAATCTTTTTAAAAAATAATAAAACAAAAAAGAAACTAAGAAAATCACCTCTACCCTCCCCTCTCCTCTCTTCCCTCCTCTTCCCTTCCCTTTTCTTTCTCTTTTCTTCCCTTTCTTTCTCCTAGCTCCTGCTTTCTCTTCTTCCCTCCCTCTGTCTCTCCCTCCCTTCTTTCCTTCCTTCTGAAAGGCAGGTGACAGTGATCTTCCCCTGTGTCTTCAGTCCCTGAAGGGCTGCAGCAGGAGGGCTGGGCCAGGCCACAGCCAGGAGCTTAGAACTCCTGATTAGCAGGGCCCAGACATTTGGAACAACTTCCACGCTTTCCACGGCACATTAGCAGGGATTTAGGTTGGAAGTGGACTGACCGCAATTCAAATCAGTGCTGTGGTACAGGTTGCCAGCGTGACAGGCTGAAGCCTAGCGCCCTGTGCCACACCCCAACCCCTTCATTTGCTGCATGGACTCTTCAATGGCAGCTATGCAATGCTTTTTTTTTTTTTTTGCCAAAGATTTTCCCTCCGGCCCTATCATATCCTACTCCAGGGTTCCTTGCTAGGCATGTGTCATCTGTTCTCATGCTCTCCTCCATCTTACAAGAGGGGTCTTCAGGGAGCAGCGTTGTGGCATATCGAGTTAAAGTGCTGTCTGAGATGCCAGCATCCCATATGGATGCTGATTTGTGTTCTGGTTGTTCTACTTTTGAGCCAGCTTTCTTCTGCTTGCCTGGAAAAGCAACACAAAGTGGTGCGAGTGCTTGGGCCCCTGCCATGCACGTGGGAGACCTGGAAAAGCAATCCTGACTCCTAGCTGCCCCTGGCTGTGGCTTCATCTGCCCCTGGCTGTTGTGGCCCTTCGGGAAGTGAATTAGCAAACAGGAGATTTTCACTCATGCGCTCTGTCTCTGTGTAACTCTGTTTTTCAAATAAATATTTTAGTTGTGGTTTGGTGTAAAATTTGACAAAGTCAAAGCAACTAATACTTCATGGTCAGTAGTTCATGATTAGTTGTACAGATTGCAGTAAGTCCCGTAGGTCCCATTTACCTAGTATTATGCAGTATGTACCTTCTTATTTTCACTTGAGTTTTGCAAATAATTTTCTACAAAGTCTGTCTTCACTAAGTCCCTGTGTGAACAATTTGAAAAACTATGAAATAAGGTACAAATGTAGTGTATATAATAAATAGTCAACCAAAAAGAAAAAAGAATTTCAAGAAGTTCATGGAAAATGAAATTAAAAGACAAGTTTATTTCG